GAGCAACACCATGGATGGATATTTTAATTTAGTAATTATAATGAAACGTTTTTAAATATGTGGGTTTTAATCAAAATTTACCCTTATTAAATTTGTTGCTTTTGGTTAAAATTAAACATTATGAAATTTGTTAGTTTTTATTTAAATTAACCAGATTTAAGTTTGTGGGGTTAAGTAAAATTCTCCATTTTAACTGGTGGTTTAAATGTGTTCAATTTTTTTGTATAAACCTGTGATAAAATGAACTCATTTATTTCACTTTATAGATTTCTATGTTTCTGTATTTCTATGTCAATAATTCCAAATTTCTATAGTTCTATATTTCTGTTCAAGTTCTACTTATATAATAATGTATTTATATCTTATTTTTTGAGAWGCTTATTTCAATGTGAGAAGATTTAGGAAATCCTTGMAGGACAAAGAGCTCCTGGAAGATCAACCATTGACTGRAAAATTATAATGTGTAATAAATATTTTACCTACTAACTGAATTATTGTCACATCTRTGGACTGCTTTCATGACAAAGATATTAATGTTTCTATATTTTTATGTACTTCTATGTATTTTTAGTTTATATATACAGATGTATTTTGATGCTATATTTGGATATTTTATTTCATATTAAGTTCTATCTAATATAATATATTATGTTGAATTGTATAACAATATCTATTATATGCTTCTATAAATAATAAATATATTTGAATTTATATATGTTTTTATTCTATATAAATATAGGCTACCATTACATGATAAATAGCATGCACATATATTATATCACTATATAAATGTGTATATGTATTATTAAACAGAATTTTATTATATTTGTGTACTGTATGAAAGAATTGCATTATAGATAATATTTATAATTATATAACTAATATAATTATGATAAAAATGTATAAAATGTAATTCTAATGTATAATTAATACTGATATAGAATCAATATTATACMTGTATTATATAAGATATCCATTAATATACATATTTCACAGTGTTTGCTCTATCGTTATGGTATTTATTACATGTTTATAATATATTTATTCTATCTCATGTATTTATTAACTTATATAATTATTTATTACCTGATATTATATATTCATAACCTCATACTAAATATCATATTTATATTTAGGGTTTATATGGATCTATTTCCCTCCTTACCTGCTTTCTTGGCTTGTGTAAAACTCCCTGGGAAAACAAAGGAAATGTTTTCAGCAAAAATGTTTTCTGCAAAAAATGTCTTTGAAATTTTTCTCATTATATAATGAGAAAATTATCAGAAATGCACAATTTCAGCAGTTAAAGGAATATTCAGCAAGTGTCTCATAGTTCATGAGTCCTAAATCCTGATTTTAATTATCCATCCATTAATTTTGTCTCTCTCCTTCTCCATCCCATATTTCTGATGGYAAAATTTTGCTTTTACTGCCATAAAATTATTTTATTTTTGTTATTGTTTTTATATGACAGTAGTTTTACTAATAAAAATAAAATTCAAAAAGATGAAAATAAATAATAATTTAAAATAATAAAAAAAAGAATTAGAGTAGAACAAACACATTTAATGATAGGTAATGTAATTAATTTCAATCAATGTTTTCATTCACAGTATTTATTTGAATTTAAATTAGAAGCTCCCCATCACCTGTGGCAATACTCACGTATCATTTTGTAAACCACAGCCCCAATAATTCCCAAATCCAGACTTAAAACTGCAAAGGAAGCAAACATCCAAGGGGAAGGGGAAGGGAAGAAGGAATCTGGAAAATCAAATG